CTAGATTGTTAACATTTTTATTTTGAATTATTTCTAAAAGTTTGAAATTTTAAATAAATAATAGACTCAACTGGAGTCCAAGGCCTTTGAGTTTGCTCAATTTAGAGTTTTGTAGAATTAGTTATGACTTTTAAAAATTTGGATATTTATTGGAATTTTCTAAAATTAATTAATTGGAGAGGTTTTAATGATTTGCTCCAAATGAACTCAAAACTTCTTGAAATAACCTCCAAATCTCAGGAATGATCTAAGGAGAGATTCCCAATTGATTAGAAATTTTTTAGAATTTTAATTAACTCTAAATTGAGCAAACTCAAAGGCCTTGGACTCTAGTTGAGTCTATTATTTATTTAAAATTTCAAACTTTTAGAAATAATTCAAAATAAAAATGTTAACAATCTATTCATCCTTAAGTAAAAATTTAAGTCAAAACTTTAAAAATTTATAAACAATTGTAGAAAAATCCAAATTCAGTAAACTTATAATGTAATTAATTATTTGAAGGTCTATTATTTAAGAAAAATATCAACTTTCTAGAAATCAACTTTAATCTAAAAGTCAAAATTTGACCTTTTAATTAAATGATTAAAATAATTGAGAACATTCTAAAACTTCAAAAATCATTGGATAATACCAACTTTTAATTAAACTGAGAAAAATACCAACTTTCTAGAGCAATCTAAAACTTCAATAATCCAAAAAATATTAATCTAACCTTAAAATCAATAACCAACCAATCATGACTAAAATTCATCAACCTTCAAACCTTAATTAAATCAAATCACTTAATTGTACCTATCATCACTAGGTAACCTGGGCCTATGACGCTATTAGCTTAACACCAAGGAAGGTGAAATAATTTTTATAGCCCCTGTGAGAAATAAAGGTGATAACCGATCAATCTTTAAAACACACTTTGAAATCAACTTCAAGCCATTAATATTTAAACTCAAAATTAAATCATTTAGGCCTTCAACCAATTAAAATATGAGATAACTTTAACAAACTATCCTATATAGAATATATCTAAACCACACAACCT